CCAGATGAGGTTCCTTGCCCGCCGTTTGTTGCCCCCTCGTTACGTCGCGTCGCACATCGACGGTGGCCATCCGGGGTGCCCCACCGACCACAACGGTCTTGACCAATCCTGTCCCCTGTTTTCGTACCGACCGCCGAACCGGTCGGCGATCCGACACTTGTGGAACCGGCGCCGTATCCAGATTTAAGCTTCTTCTTTGCCGGGTAGGATCTCCGAAGATCTTCTCACTCGCGCGTTAGTTTAATTTTGAATCGTCCGTCATTCGCGCGGTCACAGCACCGCAATAGATCCCGATCATCCGACTGCTGCTCGATCAAGGGATCGAGCGTGATCATAAAGGGAACGACTCAGTTGAACTAACAATAATTTTGAGGAATACGCCATGGCTGTGAGAGCAACGATCCTGGTGCTGATGGTCACGTTGGTGGTCGTCGCGTCCGCTGGATTGCTCGGTGAGCTGTTTGAAGCAAAATGTGATTAAGAAACGCGAGTGCGAAGATTCGGGTTCGCGCGGGTATTTACACGCGCCGGAGATTTCAATGCGCGGACGCACGTGTTTGCCTGCATTGGCGCGACTATATTATTGTTTTGTATCATTCACGTGATAAACGCGATTGCAAAAGAGATTATATGACCGGTTACTTTCTATTTGTTTGAAAAACGAAATGTAGATTGGAGCTTAATTCATCTTGCCATGAAGTAAAACTAACTTGTATCTAACTAACTTGAATACGATAGTTTATTGTTAGAATAAATAATTCTTTTTACAGTGTTATTTGAAATCGTATTGCTAACAGTTGTATTATAAAGAAAAGAGAAAGTTACTTATTTTTCTAATGCAATATATGCATTTAAAATTTTAAAGAGCAATTTTACATCTATTTTGTATTTTTAAACAGGTATTGTTAAACTCTTTAATATTTATTATTGATTACATATGATTTTCGAATTATTAATCCATTTCGTATACATTAAAAAATATTCGAGTAAGAGTTCCACAATAACAGTTTAAATTAGATCTTTGTTTTCTAATTTCACTTTCTTATGTGCTATTCAATTTTAAGCTACCTTTGTCTCTATTGTCAATCGTCCATAAAAACTGACGAAAGGTGCCCTCAAAACTGTCATTCATCCACTCGATCTCGACAATGCGCGAGAAAGTACACTACATAGAAATCCACGCATTGGCATACTTATTAACATCCAGGTGCAGTTCCTCGATCCATAAACATGGATATAAACGTTTCAAATGTCACAGTCTAATTCGTCATTTCTCTAAAGGAGAATCCAAAGAAAACTTTTACGACGCGGCGGTGAAACGTGTAGAAATTTGGCTTCCATTTGACTTTCGATCGGCGGCACGACTTTCGTTTCGTTCCGATTTCTCTATTCCGAGTTTCTCTGCCACGCGCGTCCCTTATCTCTCTCACATATATGCGTACATATACACACACATGCGTTTCCTGCCCGCAGAGACCCTGCTCTCATGGGACCTGCCGGAAGTCGAGGCGAGATCGTCCACGTCGCAGTCCAAGTGCCTGTGCCAGACTTCTGGTTGTCTCTGCTGCGTCGACCTAAACTTGACGGCCACTATTGATCTAGGTGGCCCAGCTTGCGTCAATATTAGGCAGAAAGAGCAGAATATCTCATTAAATTTGAGCTATGGCGATAATCCAATTCACAATGCAACGATAAGGATCGGCAAGTAGTCAAATCGTAATAATAATAAAGAAATCTTATTTGTATTGAATTTTAAATTAAACTTAATATTGTCTAATAACAATTTAAATTTAACACGTTGAATTATAGATTAAAATTTAATTGAAAATATTAATATAACTTTACCGCGCTTATTATAATAGTTTTTTATAATCTGTATTTTATATTTCGATTTATAAAATATACAGATATTTTAATATTTATCTATTAATGTCTACATTTTTTGTATCAGATAAATGACATTAATCATTAATATTTTTATTTTTGCAGCGAACGCAGCCAATAAACCGACATGCATGAATTTGTTATCGGATTTGGCTCAGATTTGCGCGCGATTTACATCAGTGAAGCAATCTGATGTCGGTGGCTACGATGGTTGTATGGTAATCGAACCGGCTTTGTTGGGTGCACCGCAAGCCACATATCACATAGGATGCTTCAATTTCTATCAGGGTGTCCGACAAGTGGAGGTCTCCGCGTAAGTATCTCTGTGATCTAGTTGAAAGAAATTTGAAATGCAAAAAATATATTATTTATAAAAGAATGTCTTGTTACTTCCTTTCGATTCTACGCAGCATCACGGAAACGACAGAGCCCGTTGATAACGCAGACGAAGAAGAGGACACTCTTAACACCGATGAGTTGATTGCTGCAGTGTCCGCTAGCGCCGAGCAAGGTATCGCGTTGTTCACTCAATGGCTGGGTCTTAATCTGAATCCAAAACTGAATCTCACAAACAAGGACAATGGACAACAAGATCATCAAATAACGAATAATGAACGAACGGGACCCTCAATTGACGTGTCTTCGAGATCGGCTCGCAATATGGACGATGTTGTCCAGAACGAAAAAAGCGATGAGCGGGTCAAGCAACTGGTGAGCGCTCAGGACAATGTCCTGAAAGGCTCAGCGACTATCGGACAATCTCACGGTGCGGAGACCACATTTGTTTACTCTAGACCAAGCGATTTAATGGCTGACAGAAACGCGACGGAAGAGGCCAAGAAGAAACTCGAAGCGGAAGCTGTGGTACCGCAACACCGGATCGTGGTACCAAAAGAATCCAGGAGGGGCGGACGGGCATACAACATTCATCAACACGTCAATGAAATCTGAGTTGTGCCGTGTGATCGGTACCTCGTGCAGGAAATTGTCAACTCATTCTTTTAGAGCTAGAGTGCTGCACCTATAGACTATTCTCGTATGTATGCACGCGGAGCTGGGTGATGGAGAGGAGATTATTACTTCATTTAATCGTCTCGCCCGTCGCGGTAATTTAATCTTTGCGATCAGTACAAATCGTGATCCTCGATAATATCATTGAAGCTAATGCTGATAAATCAATGTATCGCAATTTGCAATAATGAAGCAAAATGGGATTACAACTTCGCACCATAGTTCAATCTTCGGTAGCTTAAATTCTCCGTCTCCCGGAAATTTCATTCCTATATTTTCAAATACTATAGTGCATATAAAAGCTACATAACAATAATCGTTATATATATACTATGATATATGGAAATACAGGGATAAAAATTTCTTCTTTTTAACATCAATCTGAGTAATTTTATTGTTTAATTTTTTATTTTAAAATTTCTTATAAAATAGAATCTAAAAAGATAATTTTTACAAGCTTTACTTGTATACTTGTATATTTTGTTAAATTAAAAAATTTTGATAAACCTTTCTACAAATCTTTCTTGCTTCGGTGCGTAGTTTTCCCTATTGTTGCGATCTTATCCTATTCATTATGCGTGCATCTCAATTATTATATTCTCGCTCAGCTCCTCAAATATGATCTCCCGCGATTGTGATCAATGTTTGTTTGTTGATTTCATTTAAAAAAATCCTCGCTTTTCTTGCGATGATGTACTAATCTACAATAATTACTCACAAGATCTTGACTAAACGTATAATTGATCCTACGTTTTACTAGGAAATTAGTTGATCAATTAATTAACTGACAATAATTTATTTTTAAAAAAATTAAAAATAAATATTTGATGACGACTTCGAATTCCCAGAGATCAGGCATTGTCTATCAATAATAACTTAGGCATTTCTTATCGTACATATTACATGTTTCTTCCTCTTCAAGCTTGTCGTAATTTAAAAAAATATATAACGATAGTTTCACGCCACACATCTGTGTACATACTATAAATTAGTATTAAAAAATACGAAATGGTAAACGGAATGGGCAATACGACTGTCACAAGGATATTTAATTAATTCTGCGTGTGACACAGAAATAATAAATAAATAATAAAATATTCACACATTATATATGTTAGTTCTGTTATTCATTATTTCGTTGGTTACGTTCCTTCTTCTTTTCCTTATATTATACATATATACGTATAATATATATATCAATGGCTGTCGTGCTTATTTGCTCGAGAATAAGAATAAGACAGAGAATAAGAATTTCAATCTATCAGAAATCATGTATTGTTGAATACACAGTTTCTGATAGGTTGAAATTTTTATTCTCTGTTCTCTGTTCCTTCTTCCTTTTATTGTGCAGAGTCCCTTATACTAAAATCACAATTTAAAAAAAAAATCAAGTATTATTGAGTTCTAAATATATAAATACGTCTACTAAACTCATAAAATTAGTACAATATTACTAGTTTTTAACTCTAAAGATATATTCACACAAACTTGCATAGTCGCATAAACGTATGCATAAAGAAAATTATCCAATTGCATTTCTTTTATAAAAACGCACGTAAAATGTAATTCGATAATTTTCTTTATGCATACGTTTATGCGGTTATGAAAGTTGTGTGAATATACTCTTAAACTGGGAGCACAGACTCTTGCATAATGCATAACACATGAGGCATAAGAAATCAAAGTTCTTTATTTCAAGGAAAGAAAAGAAACAAAGGACTTTAATTGGTATATTTTCTTATGCATTACGTGTTATGCAAGAGTCGGTGCTTCCCGCTTTAATCACTTCAATATTCATAAAGAAAAACGAACTCCCATAAGGATGTCGGTCTTTAATAGTATCTCGTCGGTAGTTGGATTAATGATATTATATGCTCTCCTATTGGTGAAATATGCAACGTCAACCAATAGTAGAACATTATCCAACTCAAATGGGAGCAAATCCGCTTGGGTCGAAAATGCTATATATATATATATGTATGTAAACTTACCGACTAAAAGGTTGCAACACTTTTTTTTTAATAGGTTTCAGAATACAGTTACCGATTATATCCGATAGATAAAGATCAATCGCTCAGTAAGCAGGCTGCATTCCGAAAACCGAAAATAGAAAAAAAAATGCAAGTTGTGTGGATATACCCTAAGAACCAATCGCTTGGTAAGTAAGCTGCATTCCGAAATTTATCGAAAAAAAATTGTTGCAACCTTTCTGTGACCGGCTGTACATAAAATTTTTCATTTTTCACGTTCCGTTCTAAGGAAAAAGTTACATGATCGATACCCAGAGCGCAGCAGCATGCAGTAAATTCTTCATGTTGTTACCAATATGGCGTCTCGTTTGATTTAAATTTGTTCGTTAAGTGATCGGCGACAAAGCGAAACACGAGAACTGCATCTCTGGTCGAATTGTGAAAGGAATTTCGAAGACTATATTATTGAATCAGCATCCACATCACGCACAATGGATAATTTCATAAAAATAGAAAAAATCGGAGAAGGTGAGTGCATGAAAAATACGGGAAACTGTTGATGTCAAGCTATTGTTACACCTATGCACGTGTTAGCAATTAATGAATATTTGTACATTTATAATATTTGAACGTTCTTTTTGGCTGCTGATGTATTTATTACATATAAGATTTCGGTTTCTTTCTTTCATATAACATGTTTAGAGTATCGAAAATTTGTATATATTATATCCAATTGTATATATTATATCCAAGTACTTGATTAAACAGAAAATTATACCTTACTTAAATGAGTAGTGCAATATTATTTAATTGTTAAGTAAAATTTTATGTAAAGCATTCAATTTTAGCCATATACAAATTATGTAAAACGTTTTGGTCAGTAACATAAATATTGGAGTATGGAATGTGAGATATATAAGTAAATTATTATAAATCTGATATTCCTCAGGTACTTATGGAGTAGTATACAAAGGAAAACATAAGAGGACTGGAGAAATTGTAGCCATGAAAAAGATTCGCTTAGAAAATGATGACGAAGGAATACCATCAACCGCTATTAGAGAGATTTCATTGCTCAAAGAATTAACTCATCCGAACATAGTGAGCTTGATCGATGTATTAATGGAAGAGTCAAAACTATATCTTATTTTTGAGTATCTCACTATGGACCTGAAAAAATACATGGATAGTTTAGATAATAAATTGATGGATTCAGCTGTAGTTAAATCATATTTATATCAGGTTTGTTTGTATGAAAAAAATATTTAGTCTCATGGGCTAATGTTATAAAGGTTCTCCCACAGAAGAAAAGATGAACAAGTTTAGTCTTTGTAGCTTAATTACTGTATTCATACTTGAATTAAATGTATATTTAAAAAGATTAGCAAAAGCGAGATAGAAAATTTTAGTGCATTCCAGTATAGTGATAAAGAACAGACCTAATATTCTGGAAGGCTGTAATATAAGTTATTTAAGAAAGTTTTAGTGCATTCCAATACAGTAATAAAGAAGAATACAGGTTAAAGATTCTGACAGGCTGAATCATTTTAAGGCTAAGGTAGATAAAAAATATTGTATTGCTCTATCAGTATTACACTAAAACTTTCTGTAAGATAAGAAAAAAGAATATTTTATCACTACATTAGACTATACTAAAATTACTATACTAAAACATTAAACTATACTTTTGCTTTTGCAAAATTTGGTTATATTCTTTTCATTTTAAGTACAATGAATGTATATTAATTAAGTTATAAAGAATAGATTTTATTAAATGCTGAAACTGCCATTGGAAATTTTTATCGAGATTGTTCATACACTAATGCAATTGTTCTCTGTCTCAGATCACACGTGCAATTTTGTTCTGTCACAAGCGTAGAATATTGCATCGTGATTTAAAACCACAGAATTTACTAATTGATAAGACTGGAATTATCAAAGTAGCAGATTTCGGACTTGGAAGAGCATTCGGAATCCCAGTGAGAATATATACACATGAAGTTGTAACTCTGTGGTACAGGGCACCTGAGATTCTCCTCGGTGCTACTAGATATTCGTGTGCGATTGATATGTGGAGTATTGGATGTATTTTTGCTGAAATGGCAACTAACAAACCATTGTTTCAGGGAGACAGCGAAATTGATCAACTTTTCAGGATATTCCGGTAAAATTTTTATATATTATAAAAATATTTTTTCTCGGCTATTTAATGATTATTGTGTCTTACAGAATACTAAGAACGCCTACGGAAGAAATATGGCCAGGTGTAACGCAACTGCCAGATTACAAAACGACATTCCCAAATTGGATGGCAAATAATTTGGACTTACAAGTAAAGACGTTGGAGCCTGATGGATTGAATCTATTGGAAGCTATGCTCACGTACGATCCTGTATATAGAATATCTGCACGAGCAGCATTGCAACATCCCTATTTTAATGATTTAGATACATGCAAAATACCCGCTGTGTAAAACATAGAAACTACTCAAGTAAAAGAAGTAAAACTTTACATTTTTAATCATGTGATTACGTGAAGAGTATGTCTCTAGGTGTACTGAAAGTTAATTTATTTGAGTAAATGTTCTTCATTTTGTTTAATCATATCGATTAAAGTTTACATTTATATTTTTTAGTAGAACTCACTTTGTGTACGACCAGTATGGTTTTTATTAAATTACATACATTTCATACTTATATAAGTTAATGGAATATATTAGTATTTTACGTATTATATTGCACTTAAATAAGTTTTATACAGTATTTCATTCACAATTACTTTAATTAATGATGCCAATTTCATATATTCTTGTGTTTAACATATCGATCTTGGCTCGATAAGTTACTACTGTATTCAAACGTTATATTTTACTTACTCTTACGTTTAATTCATTTTGTCTACTTAATAAGATATATAGTTTTGCATCATTCTAAAGGAATCAATTTTTAAGGAAAAATTTAAACTCTACATGATGTGTCAAATAAGCTGACAATCATCTTTGTGCCTTATTCTCTGGTCTAAAAACTTCACAATCATATATTGACTATTAATAGCAAAGATTAGTAATTTATAATTATTCACTATAGAATATCTATCATATGCCTTAGTAGAAAATTTACATATTGTTGCGTTGGTCGCATTAATCTACGAATGCTTAATTTAAAAATTAAATGTAAAAATTTTGTATCCTATAAATAAATAATATTTTATTGGTAACACACTTCAAATAAATAGATTATATCAACAATAAAAATTATTCCATCAGATTGTTATCTATTATATATTATATATATATCTATATATATATATATATATATATATATATATTAAATCATAATCGTTTTTCTGAGAAATGTATAAGAACTTGTATATATACCATATACGGAGAGAATTAGTAATTCTCAGAAACATGATTCGTATTATACTTCATGTATACTTGCGTCACATGCTTATTGAATGTAATTGAACGTCAGTGATAATTTTACATTTTTTAAAGAAATAATGTGCAAATATATATAAAACAGTAGCAAATTTATCATTGTGCAAAAAAGAAAAATGAATTAGTATGAATCAATTCGCGATTTACAGGGAAAAACAGCAAGATATTCTATATTTCGATCATGTTATATATCTCGATGAATGTATATGTGACCTATAATTGTGGGGTACGCCGAGAGTGGGGCACTAGCCACATAAAGTCCATCTCTCCAGTGGAACTTGTATTTATAGTGCAAACGCAGAGATCAGCAGCATCAGTCTCCATAGTGAGTATAGTTTCAATATCTTTTTTTCAGATACATTAATTCTTTATCTCTCATACTTTATATAAATATTTCTACAATCATTAGATAATATGGCTTTAAGTTTCCATTCATTTATATTTTAAAAATCATGTTTCGCTTTTCGCACATATTCGAGAAAAGTCATCGCCTATCTCTTGTATGAAACAAGAAAAGACGAGAAAATAATAACAATTAAAAATGAATGTTTCTTTTTTACTTTTTCTATAAATAAATCTTTGCCTTGCTCCTGTAAAACAGAACTTCTTGCAAGCAGAAAGATAAAGACTAATTTATTAATTGATTTACATTGGTGCATATATGAAATATGTATAATGGTGAAATGAAAATATTCTCAGCGGAGTGAAAGGTCGCAACATGTCTCTATCATCGACTCTAATCGTACATTCATCATACGCGCGGTCATCATCGCATGTTTATTATCGGATGGAATAAGAACGAGAGACGAAGCCAGCCACTAATAACATAGGAATGTAAATTTCGGAGGTCCTTGACGCTCCGTGATGCGTATCCAAGGCGAGTGTAAATCATGCGTCACACCGGTTTTACCTGAAATCCGAGATCGTAGCTGTGCACGAAAAGAATCACTTCACTCGACAAGCACAAAATGCATTGGGATTGTTACGGCCAGAAAGTCTTATTAAGATTTTGAAAAATGCGTGACGTCACTCCTTTCGTTGAAATTTTTTAGATAATTGCGTCGGAAAGTGCATTGGATTTATATCACTCATCACATTCCATATACATATAGGCATTTACTATTAAATAGATACTCTTTCATGAAATTTTTTATTCTATATTGTTTCTATATTATTATTATTATTATTGTTAAATATAATAATAATATAACGCTAGTTTGTTTGCAAAACAAATATCAATAATTCGATCGAGAGACGAGCAAATAAGATATTAAAATAAGTGGATCCTTTTTTTAAAACACATTTTTAATAAGCATATATAATAATGTTTAAAATAGCAATATATAATTTACGTTTCGGTTCACAGTCTTCATCAGTTAAATAACATAAAAATTAACATTCACAAATCTTACTTCTAACCCTAAAGTAACAATAAGTCGGTAATCAGAGTTTTCTTTCCGCATGTAATGTGGTCATATGTGCGGGCACATATCATGTCCAACAATAAAATATTTGGGACTCGTCAATAATAAGAGACAATTTTAAATAATAATACCAGACAATTTTTAAGAAAATTTTAATCCGAATGCATTATCTCACACTGCACTACATTTTTATAATATGACATCACAATTTACATTGGACTTAACCTAAGCAGAATAATGAGTCATTATGATATCAAAATGATTCCAAAATGACTCATTAAAAGTTATTTTTCAATCATTTCCGATTCATTTTAATATCATTTTGACGTTATCGTGATTTGTTCTGCTTGGGAACTCGCTGTAATTCTCTGTCAAACAATGAATTTGTCATTGAGCTTTGCATTGATGCTAATTACTTATATTTTATTATTATAGACATGGTATGTGCCCGTACCTCCTATGACCACATTACATGCGGAAAGAAAACTATCTGATTATCAAATTATTGTTATTTTATGGTTAGATGTAAGATTTATGAATGTTATAAATTTTTATGTTATTTACTAATGAAGACTCTGTGAGCCGAAACGTAAATTATGTATTGCTATTTTATTGAACATTATTATATGTGTTATTTTATTAAACATGTTTTTAAAAAAGGATTCACTTATTTTAATATCTAATTTGGTCTTTCGGTTGTTTTGAATTATTGATATTATTATTATTGTTATTATTAAAGTAATTATAATAAATGATTAATGATCAAATTTTTTATCAAAGATTAGAAATGCGTAAACAGTTATTTGACAATTTAAATATAAATTTGTGGAAAAATCCAAGTCGTATGATCTTCTGAGAATTTGAATCACTAAATGATGTTACTCATCTTTTTTATTCTTTCCAAAAGATGCAATCCTTGACATGGTGTCTAGTATTGGCGGGATGCCTCGCTTTTACTCAGGCTCATACGTATCATATGGGCACTTGTCCTATCGTGGAACCCATGCAGGGTTTTCAGATGGGTAGAGTAAGTCGAAAAATTTATATTTATTAAAGATTATTATTACAGAGACCAAAGATGTCTTTGCAATTATTTACTGAATATTTTTTCTTATCCATACAATCAAATTAATTCATTTCAGAAATAATTTGTTTAAAATTTTAGTTCCTGGGTCTGTGGTATGTTATCCAGAAAACATCAACAGGTAGCAAGTGCATTACTTACAATTACACAAGAGGAGAGGAACCGGGCGAATACGTTATAACGCAGGATTCGGATCATCTAATCTTAGGTAAGGCAATTAAAAAACACTAAGAGCAATTGGTAAAGAAAGGAGACGTGATATGTGAATCTCTACGAAGCGCTGCATCGAGTATCATAAAAGAACCTCAATGGAATAAATGTCTAACAAATGGGATGAATTATCCGTAATTGTGAGATGCATGTGTACAGGTCTTACGCCATTGAAGCACGAGTATCATTATACTGGCCAATTGACTGTACCTGAACCAAGTACTCCGGGACGTATGGAAGTCCGTTTTCCTCTTAGTAAGTGTCTTAACGCTCACAACATCATAATATAGTTAAAAGCGGAAGAGACATAATTTTATTTTACAGAAACAAAAGAATACGATAAATAAAAATTTTGTATATTGCGCAATGAAATTTAATTAAGTTAAACATCGTCTGCAAAATGTAAATTCAAATATATAGTTACAGCCTCCTCTTTAATTTACAAATGATAAGATATTAGGCAAATTGTAGATAAATTGGCCACATACTAATCTCGCGATAAACTATGCGTTCTCACTTAATAATTTTCATACAAATTGCAAGTTAAGCAATGCATTGCGTTGTGCAACTAAAATTCGTATCTGTGATTTAGGTGTAGCCGGAAGTGCGTCCCATGTGGTATTCATGACGGATTATGATACTTACGCTGGCATATTTACATGTCAGAAATTGGCGTTCGCTCATCGACAGAGTGCGACGATCCTCTCGAGGACCAGGACGTTGGATCAGATACAGGTTGACAAGATACGTCAGCGATTGGGTCAATACGGCGTCGATCCGTTCGATTTGAGCATCATTTCACAGTCTGGCTGTCCGCAAGGCAATAATACTCTGGACATCAACGTCGATCCCAACACTTTCACTTCTGAAAATTTGGGTAATGTGGTGCGCAAAGCGGGTGAGAAGATCGGCGATGGCGTCCAGTGGATCGCTCAGACCGGAAGCAAGGTATATCACAAGATAGCCGGTACAGAAGATACAGCATCGACGACGGAGCAGAACAGTCGCGTCACATCAAGGAACAGTGGCGAAAGAATCGAGACGAACGAAGTGGAGTGGATTCCCTAAAAATCCAACCGAATCATTTTTTCACATCATTATTTTTCATTATGTTATTCGCGATCTCGATTCGCGAATTTTGATATCTATTTGATAGTTCTATTAAAATCCTTCCTTCTAATATTATATGTTTGACCTTCTATTCATTTTATTTGACAAATAATCGTATAACGAATGTAAATAAAATTACAGTGAAAATGAAAGGAATCAGCATTGATTGATCGATTGATCTACATTATCGTGAATGATTAAAGATCTGTTGCGATCTGATATTGATTAACGCATCTCTGATGATTAACGCATCATCTGTGTTAATATATGTTAAATATTCAATAAAACTTTAATACAAAAGTATGTATATTTTTATTTGTGTATTTTATATTTTAACTAAGAATATAATTAATTATTATATTTTATCATTATTGATTATGCTATTTATGCTTCGATTCCATTTTATAAAAACTTAAACATCCTATATGTGATATAATATAGATAAATATTGACGAAGTCATAAGTACTGATAAATTAAAGAATGGTTTATTTCTTTTATAATCCTACTAAAAATTCCAGCTATATCCAAATAAAAAATACACGCACTCACATCAGGATAGAGAGACATGGACAAATCAGTCTTTAACTGGCATGAAGTTCATTCAAATAAATAAATATTAAATTTAGTTATATAAGCATTTCCATTTCATGGGGTACATAGTTAAATTCCCAGATAAAAATATTGTCTGTTTACATCCACAATTCCAAATATCTTAGGTATTGCAAGAAATTTACGACATAAAATTTACTGGTTTTTATCAGGAAATAACATCCGGTTATGTAAATATTCCTGTGTTTAAATTAGTGACGACTTTTTATGGATTTTCCAATAAAAGATGGATTTGTAATTGCATGAAAATTCATACTCAATTGAAAACAGATAATAAACAGATTTCCTAAATTATCTGGAATTCCAAATATGCTTCAGACAGAACAAGATTTGCAGATAAGAATTGACATGGAACTTATCTGGAATTCCAAATGTATTTTGGATATAACAGGATTTCCAAGAAACCACATTTAACCATATGTCCAAATTTATATACGGACATGCTTGGAATTTTTAGCAGGGAAGCTAATAAATTATATTAATTTACAAGGTTAAATTTACGTAAACGTACCCAGATAGCAAAATGTCTGCAGTCTTCTAGCAGACTGTTAGCAGGTTCGAGCAGAAAATGACGGCAGTCATCAATTGCGTTCGCATAGGCTTGTGTCCTGTTAACATCGCCTGTCGACATAATGTGAAGGCAAATTGTTGGCAGAAACTGAGCAGATCCTGCCGATATTATCTGACGCTTGCAGATTCTGTTACGTTTTTTTCTAGTAGTGTGTCAACAGTATTATGTACATCTAATTCTGTAATAATTCTGTTGTTATTTTGTTGGCATGTGTGTAGCAGACATTTTAAAAAATCTGCTTTCTACAGACTTGGCTATTTGCGGTATGAAGACTAATTATTTCTAGGTTCGTAGATCCATCCTAGATCAATCCACAATGGATTCTTATTTCAAGTGAGCTAAATTTGGAACCAATCGAATTTAAATCATGGTTTGAGAAACATTTTTCAAATGAAAGACTAATTTAAACCTAGCTCTAATCGGATCTCAGGTTGAATCACGTACGATTATGAATACAACCTCCAGAGTAATTTTCGACTCGCTGTGTCTGAATCTGCTGAAATATTTCCAATTTTTGAAATATAAGAATTAAAAAACATTTTTCAATATATACCTACAGAATGTTAAATTATTTCACAGGGTGTCCAAAGATATTTCAACATCTATATGTTTCGGATATATTCGTATGATATATTAGGTGTTGGAATTAATTCGTAGCGTTTTTTAATGAAAGAATGTTATTTATTTCACATGAGCATTAAAAAATACATTAATGAAAGTACTTCCCATCACTTGTAAAACGCTACGAATTAATTCCAACACCTAATATATTCGTAGGATATATCCATATAATATATTTGGAATATTTTTACTGTGTAGATAAGTAAAAAGTTATTTGTAAATTTTTATTTTAAGCAATAAGTTGTGAGATATAATAAAGGTTTAAATATATCAATTGCGCAGATAACTATGGTATATCCCATACAGCACAGAACGTTGAAAGAATGTTACTAAGATATTGCAACGTTGAATATTGAAATGTCAATGTTTTATCAATAATATTAATTCTTCTACATTGATTGCTGCAACGTTGAAACACCATTGAACAAATTGAACCAGAATTTAAGTTGAATTTTTATTGATTTTTTTCACATTGATTATTAATGTTGCAACGTTGAAATGACATTGATCTAAATTACATATATGTATATCGGAACCTATTTTATTTTGTAAAAAATGAACAAAAATTAAATGTTATGTAAATAGAAAATTTATATCACTTAGGCCCAGTTAATTGCACCAACGTTACTTTGACTTTATGCAAGACTTAAAACTCTTTCTGTCTCGTTTTAAAGCGAAAGAAAAACAGAATCAGATAGAGTTTTAAGCCTTGCTTAAAGTCAAAATAAGACAGAATGCTCGCGCATATGATATTTATATTTGACTGGTCCGATGCGCAATGACTCGTGATCTTTCTACATATCTATATATATATCACAGTTACACATTAATATTTAATATTCGTGGATCGAAGTTACAGTTCCCGTATAATTACAAGTTCAGCTACCGCTGGATGGCGTACATGTACAAGATTGGATGAGTAATCACCGCTTAGGAAAATAAGAAAATTAATTCCCAAATGAGGGGAAAGCATTTTTTTTTTAATTATAATTTTATTGTGTGTGTTCTGGAATATGATGTTAATCAATAATACTTACTTATTTTAATAATAAAAATGAATTAATATAATATAAAAAATATAAAAATATAATATAAAATGACATAAAAATATAATTCTCTCAAAATTAGTACAATTTTAAGGATCATTTCTTTGCTCGGAATTATTTACATACGTACGAGTAAGTTTCTTTCCTTAATATGCATTATATATGATAGAAAAAAATCAATTGCAAGGTACTTCATACAAATAGTTTTTATCACATAATTTAAATTCTCCCCTAATGTGCGTGTATATAACGCAACAACCAGTGCAGGCGTTTGTATATACATGATTGCGAATATTAGTATTCTGACGTCCTGTATGAACCATCAGTCTGATAGTGGCTGCTGAGGAGAGACAAGCGTATTTCGTGGTTTCCGAGTAGCACGCTCCTTCGATATCTTTGAGCACATCGCATCATTTCACAAGATCTAGATCAACATTAAATTTGAGTGTACGTATGTTTATATTAATAAAGTTATTAATATTTTTACTTTAGCGATATATTTTTCATTGTTAATGTAATATATAACAATTTTGTATATACTAAATTTTTTTTATTGTAAATTTGTGCATGATTTACTTCGATGCGCAACAAATTATTCTTTATATATATTAGAAGATTATTTATCAAAAAATTATAAACCAATTTAAGTACACATTAATATTACTTTTGTCAATAAAGTAATGACATTTTATTCACGAATATAATTTTGCGTGGATTAATTTCAAAATCTGAAATTATTATCTCTTTATCGTGAAATTTTGTAAACAGTTGATAGGACACGTCCCATTTTACATGTATTGACATTTTACATATTTTTACTCCCATAACATTGCATCGCTTGCATATAAGAATCAAATTTTTTTTAATGTTAAAAAATCCGAAGTGTAAATGCTTACCTCTCACGCAATGACGTATTCTTGCCACGGTATATGGCATTAGGCATTCCGGTTCAATAACGCTATTCCAGCGTATCAATTATCGCCATATATGTATATATTTATATATAAGTATACATAAACATATATATTACGCTCTTTTTGCGCTACAATCATTTTGTAAAGTGACTGTCAGAAGTTTTTTTTTATTTTCGTTTTATTTATTTGTTATAAGCAAATATTAAAAATATTTTATTAATTAATTTAAATTAAAATAATGAATTGTTAGTAATCATCCATTATTTAACTAATATATTCTTTATAGACTTTTTTTTTTAGTGTATCCAATGTATCCTGGCAAAATTACAATTTTTTCATGAGCTACGGAAATGTAACTATATGTTATATCCTTTTTACTTCCCGTTCGTTACGCACTGCAGTGCGATCAGCTCGATGGAGTAGACTAGGGAAGGGAGGGAGAGGCGGGGGGGGGGATGCGCAGTTTAGATTCTCATCACAGTGATATAAGATTCTGACGCATTCACTGCACTTTTGTGTATCTTTTTCTTTTAGTCATATTTGCGAATTTCTCAGTATCAGGACATTTTTGAATCTCTGAATCGTGTATCCGTGATTTAATATCCTTGTATGTGACGTAATGTTTTCGATAAGCTCGTTGAAGCAACTGTTTCATTTTCTTATCTCGCGGAAAAATGTAGTGGGAAAGTTAAATTATTAATAATTTTTTAGTTACATTTTAAAAAAAGATCCAAACATACCGATATTTAAGTTTTCATTTTATATTACTTATGAAAAATTCGGTAGAGACATTAAAATTTAATTGTGAGATTATTAATTACAAGATTAAAAGTAAAAATTAAAAATCATGAATTAAAAATTAAAAAGTAAAAATTAAATTTTCAAAATTTAATTCTAAAATTTAATTCTAAATTCAAAATTTTTAATTTTTGCTGCCGAATACATTCAATTTATCCTTTTCGATCTTCCAGCAACGTAATATCATCACATAAGAACAATCTGTCTTATTGATATAAATATCAACGAATTGCATTCATTACATAATTTTTCAAAATTATTACAATTTTATCATTTTCCAAATAATTTGTTTAATGGATATTTAGAAACATTCAACTTCTCCGCTATTCATACTTCACGTGTACATTTTCATAGTCTTGTCAATATTGGAAATTACATGGAATGAATGATTTTGTAGAAGTATCTTAAAATAGCTAAATAAATATTTGAAAATAATTTTGTTGACAATGAAAATAATTACATAGGAATCTCAAGCATTTCAAGATGAGCAATGTTGCAAAAAAGTTTGACATTCGATGATCATCAGTTTGATCGTTTTACACAATTATTTCGATGATCCAACAAAATTATTTTCAGATCTGGCTAATTTTTTAGATACTTCAAACTTCTTTTTTGAGTATAAAAAAATATTGCATAAAAACAGATCGATTCCTAATAACGATTCCTAACATTATTTCTAATAGCCAGACAGTATATAAAGAATAAAATCTCATATCCATTGTTTATATTTGATATCGAAAAATATAAAGACAAATAATTTATAATGATAAAAAATATGATAAAGTATATTTTTATTCTATGCTTTGCGTGTCATGACACTTATACCGTCATGACAGTTTCCGTCACGACAGTTTCTATCGGTTAAATTGATAATAATCATGATTAGCGATAAACGATGAAACGTTTAGGTGCGTCGTAATCGCCCAGACTGCATCCGATTATAATAGACCTATCCTACTCTGATAATGCTGATCGACATAATTAAGTACATATGCATCAAGTTCAAGAAACAAGTTCCATAATAATTTTTAATAATTCATTACTGAGAAAAAATTTTTTTGTATTTTTTGTTAATTATAATTTATAATATATTAGATATTATCATAATTATAATTATTATCTACAAATTATTATTATACAAATATTATGGTTGTTATTATTAATATGTTATTGTCGATTTGAAGAATCGATGTCGATTTGAAGTCGAAATCATTAAATTGACGTCGAATCGATGTCAGATAAATAAATTGATATATGTACATTTAAAAAATATGGCATATTTTAATATAATGTTCGCTACCTAAATATCACAAAAATTACATTATTTAAACTATACTATGTAAATTAGAATAATATATTTCTTTTTAGAAACAAAAAATATTAAAAGCAAATTTGATGCGCAGAGGGGCGCATATTTTAAATTTTCATGAAAAATTTATATCACTTCGCGCTTTCGAGTTAGACGAGAACAAGCAGACAAGCAGTTTTGATAATTTTAAAATGGTGATTTATAATGAATGACGATCGTTGGTGCGGTCATTAGGTCCAGAATCAGGACCATGTGAATCAGTTGTGAGGCGATCTTGTTTGCATCCCTCAGGAGGCAAGTTCAAGAGACAAGTTCATCAACGGGCTTCGATGACCCACATCGCACAGTTACAGTCTAGTCTCTTTCAGGGAGCGTGCACTCTCGCTTTCGCGATCGACCTAAATTGAAACGACCCAAACTAGTCAAGGTCGTAGATTGTAGTTCGAATCTCTGAATTAGATGTATCCGCTGAAAGATGAGGACTTGATCATCTGTCGGGCTTCCCCATCATTCTCTGATGTACTCCGACAAATGACGACACGTAAAAATACACGTGGGATATAATACTTTCATCTACTTTACAGATTGGTATTCAACAATATTAAATAGCAATATAATAAATGGGTGATTCACAACACTTGGTTAAGCCTTTCACTATGAAGAGCCATTATAAATTCTGACCGCGAATACTAAACAGAATCTTTAATCAGTTGCTTAGTCGAATTGTACAAATATGCTAACTGTGTTATATGATTAAGTTAAATTGTATAGCGAGAATATTTTCATCCTATCATTACGAAGAGACTGAATCAATAGTAGCCTTGACGAAGAAAAAAAATTTCGGTCAAGCATTAATTCTGAACGAAAGTTTGACTGCGCGAATGGTTCTTTTTAGTTTTTATTTGAAACCACTCATGGGTTGAGATTTCTGGCAGTATGGATTCAATCAAGACGAAGGTCGCTAATTATCTTTCTTATTTGGTAATGTTTAATAGAATCTTCGTCGAAACATCGTCAGAATTTTTTTTTAATGATCTACGTGGTTTGATTTGGTTTCTCTGTTTGCAGATGTTTGCTGTCTTATTTGGCGCTGTCTTGCCGATCTTTTGGTCCCAAAGGATTGAGGCGAGCGTGTTGGTTGCCGACACTACTATGTCCAGAATGGTGGAGCTGAATGCCGACGCTCCTTTTTGCGCTCTTTACAATGACCGCGGAGTCATCCAGAGAATGGTTCTCGGTGCGGACCCAAGAAAAGTTCGACAAATTTCTAGCAACCTCGTCACCGATCTGGAAGAAACCTGTAAGGCTTCGCGAGATAAAGGGAAGGTAAGACTCGTCAAAATCGTACGGGAACTAACAGTTCGTAATGATCCCTGAACATTTCTCGTTTATAGAAACGTAATTATGATAGATCAGTTTCAATAGGTATTATCAAATAGAAACTTATGTATAGTTAAAATACATCTTTTTCATAAAATAAAGTTCTAATGGTTCTTCTCATAGTTGAGAAAGTTATGTTACTTTTTAAAATTAACGCGTTACCGTTATCGTTATTTGCGATAAAAAGTAACTCGTTACCGATTCTAAAAAGTAACACGTTATTGTTACTTAATTAAAGTAACGATAAAAAAGCGTTACTTTTCGTTACGTTTTTTGTAATACAGGAGATGAGTCTAGCCACCGATTTTGATGAAATTATAGGATCATTCGACACATTTTTCGATAGAAAAATAAGTCTCGTTTTACCCAGTGAACTGAGATTAATGATTAAAGTTGACGACTACTGAGATAAGGAAATCTATCCTAATTTAAATCCTCATTAAAATCGATGAATAAACCTATCTTCTGCATAATTACACTTTTTTAAATGTTAAAACTGGCTTCTAAGACAGAATGCTGAGACAAAATATATTTATATTATTCTTTTTTTCAACAAATCTTTAATAAACATATTATTTTTGTTTTGCAAATGACCTGAAAAAAGACATCTTTTAGTCATTTTTTAATACTTTATATCCTCTGAAATATATATATATATGTAGCGCATCTAAATATTATTATTAATAATAAATAGAAAGTTAATAATATAAATCGATTAAAAGTCGGACATAAAAAGGCTTTCAGATTTTTGGAAATAGTTTACCTCAAGTCGGCTTATAGTCAACATTTAAAATCAACAAAAAGCCATCCTAGAATAGTCGACTACAATGTCGACTTTACAAGTCGACTTTAAGTTGACTATTAGTCGTTAAGCTGTCACGCATGCTGTGTGGAATGCCATACACCATTTCAGCGTGTTACTTCCGTAGTAGTAAGGTATCTAATAATACTTCAATCAATAGGCGAGTTCAAGACGGTAAAGCGGCTAGACATGCTTACCGAGCGATTGAGTATGATTGATTGGATCTATAAGTAACAATTATGCCCATATGCTCGGCGAGCAAGCTAGCTGCTTTGTCAACTTGAACGCGCCCAATATTATTAAATTAAAACAAATTTGATTTACTTAATTATCTATTCTTGGAATTCAATGAACTCCGTATGTCCGCTTTATGAATGAGACACTTTTATTCATAAAAATCGTTTTTATTTGCAACATTACTCAGAACTAATAGCAAGAGTAGGGAACAAAACGAAAGATGAAGCAGTCAAGACGAAAACACAATCGGGATGAATAATGCGAAAAATAAACGAACGTTCCATGCACAAACGCATCCATACGTAATCATCTGAAGCATGGAATACATAGTGTGACAAGAATGCATGCTAACATTATCATACATATTAAGTCGTTTTTTCGAAAAAATTTTATAACAATTCTTTGAAGGAAAATAAACTCTTGTTTTGAATAATGCGATGAGGTTTTCTAATAAAATTTGTAATAAGTAAGTTAAGACTAGATAAGACAACAGACAATAGTGAAGATAAAATTAATCACAAGTTTTTTGCAATGCCCTTTATATCACTTTTATCAGAAAAGATAAAAAAATTTTTTTAAAAAGACTCCTTAATACACATGGCATATAAAGGGATTAATAATCTTAGGGGATTCATCAGGGATTATAAAGATGTTCGTCCCAAGCTATCTCACACAGACGTTGTATATAAAATTGATTGTCGAGATTGTGAAGCATCATGTGTGGGCCAAACAGGTAGATGTTTGAAGATACGCATAAATTAACATAAAAATCACATAAATTGGAACACTATACAACATTTCGTAATAACAGAACACAGAATTAGTCATCAACATGATTTTAATTGAGAAAATGTCAAGATATTAGACGAAGAAAAGGTACTTAATAAAAGACTGATTTCGGAAGCGATCCATATAAAGCAACAGAAACAGAGTTTGAATTTACAGAATGATACGTATTCTTTAGACCCATTATACATGAATTTGTTTATGGAATTATGATTTTACCCTCTTTTGTTCTTATTTTTATTTTAATAACTACATGACTTTATTATTTTGACTATCATTGTATCTCTGATTATCGACACCACAAGACGTCGAGTCACGAGAAAACGCTTACATGTGAGTTGATATAATTAAAATTCAGACAAATGATTTTAATAATTCTCTAATGTTTTGGTTTTCGTGTTTCTTTTAAATGACTACACAGCAAATCTGACAATCTGATGAGCGATGTGATTCTACTTAGTGACGCATATATATGACTTCGGTTTTACTTTATGTAAGTTTTTATATTATTTTGGTATAAATTAATATTTTTTATAATCATTGGGCTATGTATTACATAGCTAATTTGACATTTGGATAAAGAAGAACGAACTAAATTGTCGGGAATCATCAACTTGGAATTTGCGTCATCTATGTAATTTCGATTTATATTTTATATTGATAAGAATCCGAATTGAAGGGTCGAAATGTATATTTTATTTGTTTTGTTACATTCACACGAAAATAAAGAATTTTCTGTGCATCTGAATAACTGAAGTAGGTTCTGATGGGCTTTTTTACTCTTTTCACTGATAAATTAAGACTATTGTCAAGAACATTTTCTTTGTTAAATATCATCGTTAGTTAAGAGGATGCTGTAATATTATCAATAAAGCTAATGTTTTTGACGTTCCTGTCCAATTTCTTCGTAGTAGTTTCACAGAATGAAAATTCTTTTTCCATGATTAAAATATACATACTAATATACTTTGTCGCTGATGTATTTTGTGTTCAAAGCTGGAAAAAAAAAATTACTGATTTTTCAATCCATTTTTATCTCAGTATGGCGATCAACGCTGAAGATATATAAGAAAATATATAAGAAACACAAAATATACCAGCGACAAGTACATTAGCATGTACATTTTAATCATGGAAAGGGATTTTTTATTCTGTGAATTTAAACCATTACGAAAAAATTCACAGGAACAAAAACATCAAAAACGCTACTTTTATCGGTAATACAGGCTCCAGCATTTCCTTAAAAGAAAAAAAATAAGCTGAGTAATCACTTTTCTTATATAGTAATAGAATAATATTTTTCCTTAAGTATTATTGCATTCGAAAATAGGTTACTTTTAAAAGTGTCCTTAAGATAATCGGGATAATCAATTTCTAAAACTTCTTTCTTCAGAATCAAGCGCCCGGTGGTGGTCTAATATATCCGGGTACTAAATGGTGTGGACCAGGTAACGTGGCCAGTTCCTATAATGATTTGGGCCAACACTCGGTCGAGGATGCTTGCTGTAGGGAACATGACCATTGTTCAACCACGATAGCGCCGCAACAATGCATACACGGCATATGCAATAACTCGCCATTTACTCGCTCACATTGCGATTGCGACGCCAAATTCCGCAGATGTTTACAGAATCTCAATACTGAGGTGGCTAATACCCTCGGCGCGCTCTTCTTCAACGTGATTCAGGTTATCTGCTTCAAAGAAAGACGACCGTGCTCGCAGTGGCAAAGGTATATTCTATATAAAAAAAACTAAAATCTTCGAAATTTTATAAATTTGATATATCCTGATATATCTTATTTACATATTTATATAATAAAAAAAATTTTGTCACTCAACTAAAGACAGCTATGCAGGATACCTCAACGTATGTCAATTAAAAAATAAATTGACTTCAACATTCATGCTGTTACATTGTAGAATGGTTTTTAGCTGCGATTTACAATGGGAAAAGTCACCGATTTACACGTCAAACAATTTATCGGAGAAAGGATTTCAAAGACCGCTATTGACAACCGTCTCTTTCGTATTTAGAGATTTGATCAGACAAAGATATGTTCTTCAAGATGGCACGTAATTTATCTGAAGACGTTCCGACACATAAAAAGGATCGCCGTAAATGTATTTTTTTTCATTTCTTTTTCTAGCACTTAATATAAAGTTTTTGGTGACGGTTTCGCGCGCATCATATATAATTAGATTAAACGAACTTATCTAAGTGAAGTTTGATCTTAATTATACTCTTAATCTCATCCGGATGGATATAGCACTTGTAATAGTGCGCCTGCGCACGTTTCGACAACAGTGTTTGAAGTACCGCCAAAAATCAAAGCGGATGTTTGGTGCCACTCCTTGGACTTAGTCCTTCTATGCGCCGCTCGGCCCAAACTCTCATTAGTTCAAAACTTCCGCGGCAAATCGCCTCTATCAGGATGGACCAATGAAAAACGCTGCGCTCTTAGCGCAGAGACACTTAAGTCCACCCAAAAAGTAACAATCAATTAATTCTCTTTATTGTTCTTCTTGAATTTTCTTCCTTTGGGAACAAAACAAGTGGCAAATCGAGCTTTAAACAACTACAAGTTATAACCGGACGAGACTTAAGGGAACATAATAATTGTTAGATTAAACGAATTTACCTGAAGTTCGATCTTGATTATGCCCCTAGTCTCGTCCGGATGGACTTCCAACCCTCTTTCATTGGCCTACCCTGATGGAGGCCTGGTGGAGGATTTGATTTTGGGCGGTACTTCAAACACTGTTATCGAAACGTGCGCAGGCGCACTACAAGTTATATCCATCCGGACGAGACTTAAGGGGGATCTTTCAGCTTTCATCTAATCAGTCTCAACATTGTAGTGAAAGTTCTTTTACCCTGCGAAATTATAATTAGTTTTAATGCTCTGGATGAAGGGTTTTCTGTTGATTTTATTTTGCCGTTTCGGCAAATTGTCTTATCGATGAAATTCAACAAATTATTGATTCATGTAATTTATTGCAGGAATGGCTACGCGGAGGCTGTGTCCGATCGATTGTGCTCGCAATACAAGTTCCGACCCAGTGACAAATATGTGCCCATGATGCCTCTGAGTATGAACAAATGAATTTGGAAGCTCGGAGAGAAAGGCAGCCTTCGCTCGCGGAAAGAAAAAGGACTGATGGCCAGTACGCGTCATACAGATTATCAGATTATCGGTCGAGAAGTAACGCGTTAATTATAACGCGTCGTTATCGTTATTGATACTTTTTTTCGATAACAATCATTACTTTCTTCTGTCTATTCGGTATTAATGATATAAAACAAATCAATTGTTACTTTTTATCGTTACTTTAATTCCCTATTCTCCTTATATCTATTTAATCGTATTATTTTTTATTGAATAGAAATATTTTATTTAAATAAATATTTTTTAATATCAAAAAATATTTCTTACTTTATATCTTAGGCTGCATTCTGATAGTCATTGCCAATATTGAAAATTTTTAGTATACACGTAACGTAAATTATAAATTAGTACTAGCAGTAAATATATTGAATAAATTGAAATTTACTCTTAATAATGACATTAATGTCATTTAATGTTTAATAAAATTTGTATTTGTAAATTACGATAATAATTCCTGAAGAGTAAGTATACATTAAAAAATAAAAATATTAATATAACATATTATTGAAAATTTATTTGATAAGTTTAATATAAAGAAAAATTGATTATATAGAAACTAACTGAGTTTTATAATTTAATATTAATAGTTATTATACGTTTAATATCAATCATTAAACAATGTAGTTGTAAAATCTACTAACTTTAACATTACAAAGAAAGTAACGAAAAAAGTAACAAATCAGTATTTTTTACAAAAACAATTAATAGTAACGCATTATATTTTTATGAAGTAATGTTTCCAATCTTGCATCGACCATATCGTTTATGTCATATTAAATTATCATCTTTATTGTGTCAACGTGCAAGTTATCAACACATACCGTTTTATTTAAAGATTAATTAGTTACATTAGATTTTTCGCAACAGCGCAGCTGCAAATGTCATTTGGAGTTTGGACGAGAGTATGGACGAAATTCCTTATAGCTGTATATATATTTACAGTACCCTCCGTAAGTTTGGAAATACATAAGGAAAATACGTAATAAAATCGATATATTTTGATTTGCAAATAATTTAATTAAAAATTAATTATTTAATTTAAAAAAAACGAAATAAAATACATACATACATACATATATACGTTATCTATAATAACATATCATTAAAATATAGAATTTTAATTAAAACGCGATTCATATGAAATCTGATTCTTCGGGATCATTTTACAATTTTTACGGAGTCTGAAATCAACTTGTGACTCAAATAATTTACCCCTTTTATAGAAACTATAAAAGGTTAAACTACAATTAAACGATTTGTGATATGTTTTACAACGCACATAAATACGACATTACAAAACAAGTGGCAATATGATATAAACAATAAATCGAAGTGAGAAATTCAATCTTGAACACTCCGATGCTGCGAAATGATTGTCCGACATATTTTCGACATGTATAATAGGCATCATTGATACCTTCCGGCTTGAAATTTATAGTTTCCTCCTACTATGATCGTATACATCATATCTATACTGTTAAAAAAAACGAAATTTACTTCCATTATGTAACGAAGGATTAAATTTCGAGCCGGAAGGCATCAATAACGCCTACTGTACACGCTTATAGGTGTTTTCTAAATAAAAATATTTATTATCGTTTAAACGTTTTATGACGTATTTAAATAAAGAAACATGAATAGATCGCTGGCATGTAATGGTTTTCCTGTAAAATCATTACATTAAAAAAATGTAGGGTGTTTCCAAACTTATGAAACTACTGTATATTTTATTTCTACGAGTATAATTTGATCTACCAAGTTTAATTGTATATAGAAAGAAATTTAAAGAGAGAGAGAGAGAGAGAGAGAGAGAGAGAGAGAGAGAATATTTGTTAATTGAATCTTTTTTATAGAACAGAATTTTTCTCTGTAAACTTGGTTATAATTGCGGTTAGTTCTTGTAATTGTATAATAATACCAGAAAGTTTTTTTTTTGCAAATTATCGCCGTGTTTTTATTCCATTACTAATTACTTAAATTCCTGTTCACTTCATCAGATACTCCTTATCAATATCAGTATCAATTAGTATCAATGCCTTTCTCGCGCTATAATGAACGGCAAGGTTTACGAAACGTTGGTATTAGTATAATGGATGAAAATATGGCGATAATTTGCAAACCTTCTGGTATCTTAGAAGATAATACTCTGAAAGCCTAAAAAAGGATTATATAGGGTGTGCCAGAATGATCACCAAATATTTCATGTGATGATAGAGCGGACAAAGCTAAGTCGAAAAGATCTACTATTTTACAATAGTTATTAAGTTATTAATTAATAAAAAAAAATCACTGAATATTGATTTTCAATAATTTTTTATTCAAGTATTATCAACTTCACAGAAAAACAGTGAGAGACAAGAATTGTTTATTTTCTTCTCATTAAGTTCTGAGAATTTTTTCAGAATTTTTTAGTTACCTCATTTTCTCATGTTGGTAAAAATAATTGCCAATAAGATGCAATACTAAAAAGTTGACAAAAAATTTTGAAAAAATTCTTAGAGTTTTATGAGAAGAAAATAAACAATTTTTGTATCTTGCTGTTTTTCTGTACAGTTGATAGTAAATACTCAAGTAAAAAAATATTGAAGACCAATATTCGGCGATTTTTATAATTAATGTCTTATTAACGTCTTATTATTGCGAAAATTGCAAAATCATAGAGGACTTTTCGACTTAGTTTAGTCCGCTCTATCAGTGCATGAAATATTTGGCGGTTATTCTGTATAATAGTATTATGGAAACAGGATTGCTCGTTATGATCCCTAATAGCACATTTTATATTCAGAATACATCCTGAGGACGTCCTTAGGATGTTCAAAAGACATACGAACGTCCTCTGGATATCTTAAGGATTTCGCCTGGAGATCTATGCTGTTAGGGATGGCATAATGGCAACTATACTATGTTTACATGGCTCGATTTACATCGAAGTCATAACATCGATGATATAGTAATCGATGAATCATAATAATCTATTACGAAAATAAAATATATCTCTGATTAAGTATAATTATTCCTCTCAAGAATGGAATGACTGTGATTGGCCAATTTCATAATGATGTTATAACTTTAGTGTAAATCGAGTTATGTAAACGCTTAGGAAGCCGTAACCGTATGTCGTAATCTGTAAAAATTGACTAATCACAGTCATGTATTCCCCTCTTATTCGATGATAAGAAGGAAATAGATTAATTTTTACAGATTACGCCAATTACGGCATACAGCATATGATTACGGCCAATATATAAACGCTCCCTTAGTCTATTCTACATTAGACGCAAGTCGATTGCAAGTTTGTAGTGACAACCAATCTGAAGCTTGCATTTTGAAATCAATCCTTCGAATTGATTGTTGCAACAAACTTGCGATTGGCTTGTGTCTAATGTAAAATGAATTTGACAAGTGTTAATCTTGTCTTCTCGCTATATTATGTTAGCAGCGAGAGCAATAATATATTCGAACAAGTGTTAGTAAAATTGACTGCGTTCAGCAGAGAAAATTAATCAGTTACCACTTTGGTGATCCTTTAATATGATTGATTCTTACTTTTAATTTTTCACTAAATCTAAGTGTAAGAATTAATCGTATTAAAGAATCACTAAGCGCTAATTGATTAGTTTTTTCTGCTGAACGCAGCCATTATATTGTATTCTGCGTAGCATATTTATCATGAGTGTGTCATAATTTAATTTTTGGTCAGCTTTACATATATTATAGTCAATAGTCTATTACGAAAATAAAATATGTCTTTGATTAAGTATAGAATGATGTAAATATTTTTATCTATGTTTCTTAATTAATTATTTTGAAATATTATTACGTGCTCAAAAGCAGATATAATAAATTTGTAACAGAAATAAAATCATCTTTTTCTCATATGTGTAGCAAACTCAGTCACTTGTATTATACTATTATAGATAAGTCCAAAAGCTGCTATACACGAAATGAGCAAATTAAATAAATAAATATGAAAGTATATTTTAAACGATTAAATGTATATTCAATAATGATATATTTACGTTATTTAATAAAATATAAAAATATTATGCATGTATTATTTCTCACACAGCATATAATATCACAATAATGTCACAACAATATCATTTTTTCATTGCACAATATTACAATGAAATCTAGCAAAAATATCGTTGAAATATTATTGAAATGTTACAGTAATATTACAATATCTGCGAATATGAATCACAAGAATTATTGAGATATATCGTAAAATTGTCATAATAGTCCTATATAGCGTCAGAAGTTTTCAGAAATATTTCAGAAATTTTTCAATTGAAAAATGAAACATTTCATAAAAATTGCGAAATATATCTATAACATTTCTGAGATAGCTCTGGAATAGCAAAATGTCTGTGATTCTTACACATGAAATCTTATTGAAAAGTTGATGAAATGTTACGGAAAGAGAGAGAGAGAGAGAGAGAGAGAGAAAATCTGAAATTTTTTAAAAATATTACTAAAAAAATTTCAGCTATTTCTAGTACTTTAAAAATGATAAATTTAGATATTATTTAAATATCAATTAAATATATATTTAAATATCATTTCTGAAATACTTAAAATATATTAAGAGTTTTTTTATCTGTGTTTACAGATTATAAAACTTATTGAAATAAAGTTTCTGCATACGTTCTTGACATTTAAACAAGTATTATGTAATTTGTAATGTATTAACAAGATGTGCAGCTATAATCATCTCGATCTACAATATCGCTAGGACTAGAAAACCAAGATCCTTGATTTAGAAATAAAAAATTTCATAGTAAAGTATAATTTAGAATAATGATCATGTATATGGTTTATCTAAAGTGATAACAGTTAAGAAAGACAATTTGATCAAATCTATTTAAGGTTGAATGTTATAATTTCGTTATTAACTATTGAAAATGATCATTATGAAATGATCGAAAGTTTAGTTTTTAACTATTTGAAATAATAAGTTATATTTAAGCACTTAAGAGACACAGAATATGGCTTTTTTAATCCTTGACAATTAAGTTGAATGCATATTCATTCATATAGAGCAATTGTATTCATATAGAGCTTGATACCGAAATATTAATTTGTTTAAACTTAAAGTACCCAGCAAACATGCAATTTCAGAATGTTTACACAACATAGTGTATGTAAATATTACAGAACAACACAACGAACCAAAAATGTAGCAGATATATCATTGACTAAAAACTAAAACCTAAAAAACTATTACCCATATAGCACTTTATTTCCTCTTAGGATATTCTAATCTAATCAGATTGATCCCATTCTAATCAAAAACATTAAATTGTTCATATGATTACCTTAGGATTTGTAATTATCATTGTACCAATATAAAACGTCTTAGGATATTCTATTTTAAACTGATAAAATTTTGATTTATATTAATTTCACTTATATAAATTGCATTTTTCAACTTTCGACACATATATGTTATACATTTATGTATTTTATATATATTATAGATTATAGAGACATATCTTTGTAATTAATTTAATTATTAATTTTTTAATAATGTTTACATAAATATCCTACACAGCTTATTGAAAACTATCCTTTGTTTTGGGAAGAATTCATAATCATATTTATTTTTATATATTATTAATTTGACAGTTGCAGCTATAGCTTATTTTGTTTTTTGTTCTACATAATTTATTTTTAAATAGATACATGGGTTATTTATTAATTGACAAAGTAAAAGGAGTTTTTGATATATTTTACAAAATCGGTTCTATCGATTGTAAGTACTTGTTTTAATAAAAATTTTCCTTTTTGCTAATTAAACTAACTATAAATAACTCTATTAAAAAAAAGTAGAGGTTTCAGAGGCTCCATGAGAGGCGTACAAACGAGATTCTTGTATAACGCATAACACACGAGGCATAAGAAATTGAACTAATCAAAGTTCTTTATTTCATAGAAAGGAAGGAAACGAAGGACTTCGATCGATATATTTTCTTATACATTACGTGCGTTATGCAAGTGTGCTCTCCGCTTTAAATCTTACGTCTTAAATTTTTTTTATATGCAATGGCCTTAATTTTCTCTGCTGGGAACGCAGCCATTCGTAAACGGTCGCCACTAAAGCTTCCTGATTTGGCCGTTTCACGCAGCGTGTCGCTGCGAATGCAATTCGAATCACAGTTTGAGTTTACGCGACTTCCGCCTTCCGCGCCCAGTGAACAAGCAGATGGCAGAGGAGTGGGAGTGTGTCAATCCGTCAATCGTGCGTGCTGGTGCGTGCTGTGATGGATGAAGTCACGACGAACGGTAGGTTTCTTCTTGATGGCGAGAAAACGGCGTTGTCAGTCGTGACATCGCGACCGGATTGCGCGATGCTCATCAACGATTACGTGGACATCGCGACGACGATGGTTCGCCGTTCACGCGACGTGCTGTTGACGGAACGTCGACGCTGAACGCATCGCGTGGGCGTCCTATCTTCCGCGCGCGCGCGCGCGGGTGTGTGTGTGCATGTGTATCTCCCCCTTCTCTCTTTCTCTCTTTCACTCACTCAGTCTCTATCTTTTCTCCCATTGCCCACACTCACATTAATAAGTTCACTCGTGTCGTGTGTTTCATTGCGTTATATTCCTTCGCGATGGATTCTATCTCCTCGATACGCAGTGTCACACGAACCGTAATACGAGGTCTATAATAGAAATCGTAGTCTTTAGTCGTAGAAAATTAACTAATCACAGTCGAATGAATAATCGACTATGATTGGTCAATCTTCTACAACTTAAGCCTATTCTACAATGTACTCTTTGTTTCCTGTTTCTTATTTTGTTACCTTTTTTCTTCTTTTCTTGACAATTGTATTTCTTGCTATATTTGTTTGTTTCTTTCGAAATTCGTTAACTTTTATTTCGGCGATATAAAACAAAAAACCAGATAAGAGGCAAAAAGACAAGATGTAAAAAATAGCGAAAAGCAAGAAACAGGAAACAAAAAGCACATTGTAGAATAGATTTTAAGATCCTATGACCGCTATGACTTCTCTTTTGTACCCCTCATACGTCTGCGTCATATTCCAATCTCTACTTCTGTCGTCAGTGGAGTCAGCTGCTCGCTTACTTATTCAATAATCGATGTCAACTGTGATTCACGTTTTCTTCCTGAGACACATGGCTTGCCTCTTCTTCGCTTACTTAGAATTATGCATCCGTCGGTTCATGTATGCTTGCAAAAGACATTTTTGTGCATGAATGCGTAATGTTTGATATGATTACAAGAATGTAAATTTCAACAAACATTGATGCGATATGAAATAATAATTTCTTGCTACAATTTCAATTATTTTCGTACATAATATTCTATATTCAGTAATGATTTAAAGAATTAAGATTATTATTTATAAACTATACATGATTGTATATTTATAATCATAATTTTCTAGATCCAGCAGGTGGAGAAAGTAGAGGAACGTTAATATGTGCTAGTTGCCTCAACGCTATCGAGGACGAATTTATACAGGCATTAAATCAAGAATGGCACATTGATTGTTTTCGGTAAAAATGCTAGTATATGTTTTGAAAAAATGATATTTATTATGAAACATCGTAAAGTAAATTATTAATTATATTTTTATATATGGAAGAATAAGAATAAGAATCTTTCAGATGTTCTGCGTGCGACATTGGCTTATCCTCCTGGTACTTCGAGAAAGATGGCTTGCTATTTTGTAAAGATGATTATTGGGCCGCTTATGGTGAAGCATGTCAAGACTGTGGTCAGATCATCACAGGCCCCGTCATGCTGGCGGGTGATCACAAGTTTCATCCAGAATGTTTTGCCTGTACTTCATGTGGTGCTTTTATCGGAGATGGCGAGAGTTATGCCCTCGTCGAACGGTCCAAATTGTACTGTGGGATTTGTTATAAGCGACAAATGCAACCGCTCAACAGGGCAGCAAACTACCCTTTTGCCAGAAAACCACATAGCATTAGACTGGTCGAAATACCTCCCAGCACGACAGATCCTGATAAGCAAAGAGGAATTAAACTTACGTTAGACACAGTTCCCAGTCCCCGCAGTTGTGGTGCTTTATTACGTATTTCAGAGTATGTATAATAATGTATTTTATAAATCTTGTATTACATATGCTATCTTTAAATTACAATATTTTATTTATATATCTACATAAACGAAATTTCTTAAAATCAGATTTATGTATATAAATGATAAGTTTGATAAAAGTAGAACATTTGGATCTTTTTATTCCTCAGAATTATATATCTAAAATAGTTGCTTTTTGAAAATATTTAACAGTGCATGATAGTCTTGATGATTATTTAAGAGAATTGGTATAAAAAAAATGTATATTAGCCTCTAATAATTTAACACTAATAATTTAACTAAAATGCAGGTTAATGAGAAATATTCGTGGAAAGATCAGTAAGCTGCTAGCCTCTGTGATGGAGGTTCTATTTAGGCTATGCTGCCACTTCTCTAATCATAGGTATTGCATAACAAATCAATAATATGCACTACATATTGCTAACTCTACAGACTGTGCTCCCATCGTAGTAGTAATGTTAATTGCACGTGAAAATGTATAACATAAGTTCGTGCAATTTTCTATAATTTGTGTACATGTAATTGTAATTTTAATATATATTTTATAACATATATTTTAAATATATATTTTAATATATTTTTTTATTAGATATTATAAAGTATATATCGTTCTCTTTTATCAAGTGCATGTTGTTCATTGTAGTTCATCAAAAAATCACAATTTGTGTTGTCAGAATTATCTTAAATAAGTGTTAAAGTATTGCAAGTGTTAACTGCTTTTATATCATCTTTTAATCATTTAATGGATTGGTGCAAGTTATTTTATGATTTAATTATGAAGAAATGGATTAATATGATATTATTTCTAAATTCTGTTGTTGTTTTATAGTTCCCGATAAATGTATTTTATTTTGTGTAATAAATTTGTATGAGAATATAAAGTTTGAAATAATATTATATGTAACAAATTGAATAAATGTGATTAAGAAATGTCTTAAGTTGTATTCTCATTTGTAAAATACTTTTTGATAATTTTGTAATATGCTTATCAGTTTTATTATAAGTGTATGAAGTTATCTCATTAGCCTGACAGTTATTATTTCGAATTGTCTTTTTATGTAATTGTATTGTAATGAAAAATATATATATATGTACTACTGTGATTTCAGACGATATGGTCAATGTTCACCAATATTAGCAAATATTAGCAAATATCGTATATACACATAATATATATAATCCACATTGAATGTAATCCAATATTTAACGAATGTGTATAAAATTGGCATATACATTGGCCATATTGTCTGGAGGCACTTTTAGGTAACTATAATAAAAATATTCGATTAAAATGAATGTTGCAGATTGAACATGTCGAGCGATCTTATATCGTTACATATTGGCGACCGAATCTTGGAAGTAAATGGCACCCCCGTTAAAGATCAACCGGTGGAAAATATTGAAAATCTGATACAATATTCGGACACAGTTTTACAAGTAAGCCAAAGTGTTTTCAAAGTATCTTTTTTTTATTGGGGCAGTTTGTAGTTAAATTGAATGTAAATTACGATTTATTCGGTTTTAGTTGACTATCGAGCACGATCCAGATGCGGTTTCACGACGACCCACCTTCTCCTCACCGTCCTCGGCAATGCTAACATATGTCGGCACTCCCAGGATAAGTCCTGAAAGCAAAGAACGGCTGTTTAAGCGTCGGGATGAGGGTTACATCAGTGGTGCGCGGAGTCGACAATTACGAAGAACGAGAGATCCTATGCATAAAGAACGCAGCAGTTCTATGTCGCGATTGCTCGAAGGGTAGGACAACGAATACAGAATACTTTCAATAGTTGACTAATAAATTACGATATGATTCACTAAATCGAACATTATTGCAGATCTTCACCAACGAATCCTACTTATGATCTAAGCCGTACCAGATCATTTCGCGTAGAGCCAAAGAATCAGAGAATATTTCGAGCAAGCGATCTGGTGAAGGGCGAGCTCCTGGGCAAAGGATTTTTTGGACAAGTATTCAAGGTTACGCATCGTGACACAAACGAGGTGATGGTTCTGAAAGAATTATACAGAGTGGACGAGGATGCGCAAAAGAATTTTCTAAAAGAGGTAACTTTTTTTAAATGCAAATTTAAAATTAACATATACAAACGGGATAAAAGTGAAAAAAATGCTAATATGTTTGATATACGAACAATTTAATACTTGAATGTTCCAATTTTGCATATTCTGAGCATTCCAGTATTAAATAGTTGTTAAATTTAGCTGATATTTCCTATGTATGTCTTTAATAACAATTCAATACAGGTTGCGGTATTGCGGTCATTACATCACAACAACGTTCTTCGATTTATCGGTGTTCTTTATAAGGACAAGAAACTGCATTTGGTTACCGAATATATAGCAGGTGGCACGTTAAGGGCCCTGCTTCACGATACGAACGAACCATTGCCGTGGGAACAGCGTACATCATTTGCGAAAGACATTGCTGCCGGCATGGCCTACTTGCATTCTATGAACATCATTCATCGCGACTTGAATTCGCACAATTGTCTCGTTCGCGAGGATAAGACTGTTGTTGTTGCCGATTTTGGACTGGCGAGGATCATTCAAAATGGTAGCTCGCCAGACAATCGCAAGTATAATCGACATTCCAATGGAGAGGTGAAAACTTCAAAGAAAGAACGGAAGAAACGATACACAGTTGTCGGAAATCCCTATTGGATGGCTCCCGAGATGATGAAAGGCAATAAGTACGATGAGAAAGTAGATATATTCAGTTTTGGCATCGTTGTCTGCGAGATTATAGGTCGGGTTCAGGCAGATCCTGATTATTTACCGAGATCCTCGGATTTTGGTTTAAATCAAAATGTTTTCAAGGAAAAATTCTGTTCCAATTGCCCAGAGACTTTTTATATGATCGCGTTTCTTTGTTGCGACCTAAATCCTGACAAGAGGCCACCGTTTGAAGTTATGGAAGTTTGGCTAGAAGGATTGGCGATGCATTTGTCGGTAGGTGCTGAATTGCCAGTAGATCTAGACTTCGACATTAGAAATTACAAAGGACCGAGTCCGAGCAGCAGTGAGTCCACGACTCCGGAAACTCTGGCACCACAATTGAAGCCTATTAAGGAGGGTCAAGTGCACCAAGAAAAAAAGCAATCCAGCGGCTGTGATGACAGTACTTTGGAACGTGAGACAGAGCCTTCGTCGAGTAACACGCTTCATGTGCCTGAAGTTATGAGTCCGCGTAATAGATACACAAGACAAAACAGCAAGAACAACGATAGTAATGTGGGACGTTATTCAAGGCAAAGTTCCAAATCAAAAGACTTCGTGTCCGACAAAGAAAAGTCTGATATAGTGATCTCACCTGATTCCAGCTGTTTTAGTGGACGATATCTAAAGAATAACAATATCAAATCGAAAGATACGTCTCCCGACATTCCAAATACCTATTCTTACTTGAAGCAGGAGACATATCCGAAGCAGATCGACACGAATGAATATAATCTGACCCGAATACCCACTGTTGAAAAAATAAAGTATGTAGGAAGTGCGAGTCCGTGCGTGGTATCCGATGCTTCAGAATATATAATCGACAGTAAAGGTTCATACAAGATCAACAGTCTGAAACATAAATCGGTGGAGAAGTGTAACGATATAAGTAGTCATAAGACAAAGTCGGAGAGCAAATTCAAGATACCGGATGCTGCATGCTCCGTCGGTTCTTATCTAAAGCAAATCGGTAAATCTATTGCCATGGAAAAAGAAAATAAAGCGATTAATACGACAAATTGCAGTGATACTGATTCGAAGAAAGTAGTTAGCGAAAGTTCTAAACCCTCTGCAGCATCATATCTGCGAAGGACGAAAATATCACCGACCAAAGAGACATCAAAGCCCGCGTTTTCCAGTAAAGAAACTGTTAAAGATAAAGTTGATGGCATTTTATCTCAGAAATTCGTAGAATCAAAAGTCCCACCGAATATTCAAGAAAATGTGGGAGACGAAAAAGATAGACTGTCCAGACGGGTGAGCAATATGTCCGATGTCGGCAGTATCTTGTCAAGACAGGGAAGCCTCACAGTATTAGATTGTATGTCTAAATACAAAGATTACTCACCGTTCAATACTTTCACGAAAGATGATTTTCATGAAGATCATTCCTTGGGAAAACAAAATTCAGGCCTATATCATACAAACAATCTTTATTCCAATTCCAGTATTTCGAGGCAAGATGACTTCTTCAATATACATAGCAAACAAAATAGGAATGACGATGGTGTTGAAGTCAAATCGACGACCAATGGTCCAAAAAATTTAATGACTTCGTCTATTTATGATAGTGATTTAAAGATGATGCCGAACAGTTTGGCCGAGTATAATGGATGCTACAAGGGTATTGACATCTGTAGGCAGGATAGTTTCGATTCCGACAGCGCACTTGGTACTATGAAAAGCGATTTCTTCGCGGACGTCGATTTCGTACAAATGAGAGACACACCAGACTTGTGCCATACACCCGAAAGATGCTGCACGCCTAATCGTCCGACGTCACCGATGGAAAGTACTGCTTTATAAATCAAAATGCGCTCATGGTAGGAAGAGAATAACAATTTATGTCGAGATAACGTGCGTAATCCCCCACGAATGAATCTCATTTGCTACTAATTTGATCTCTTTATTCATAATTTATAAATTATTCAGTAAGGTTCGAATGTATAACGTGCTTAGTTTACAATATTAACTTTTTAGCCAGAGTTTATTTCATCCATTATCTTTAGTGCAATGAGCGAGGAAAGGTTTTATATATTAATTTTAATGTGCGCAATATTTGTTTTAAAAAGCTTCCTCTGAAAGGAAGTGCTACTTTTATTCGTTGAAATTAAATTTGAAAATTTTTTAATTGACATGTGCAAAACAAACATAAAACTTCGGGCTGGAAATATTTTTATTAAGATACATTTAATTGAAAGTGTTGTCTTGCTGAAAAAATTAATGGTAACGCTCAGTATTAACAAATTTCATTTGCTGATTTATACGAATTTTTAGGTCGTAATGACGTTAGTTAATTAGCTGTAAGGATTCTATTACATTCCTAGACAGATCTTGCCACATGGTTTTCAAATATGGGAGTTCAGGCGATAAAACGCAGTTCTCCGACAAAAGTCATTCCATCCAAAATACTTATAGAGCCGGGATTTTGATAAGTATGATATTATTAGCGTGCTCGAAAAAGCGGCACTGAATATGTCGATTTTGCAAACTACAAATCACATGACTACAGAATCAAAAGCCGTCAGCCGAAGTACGAAGTAGAAGTAAAATATTTTGACTTTGTAAGTTGGTGCAAAACACGTTTTCTCTGAGACTACACGATCATTACGTTTCTCTTAAATTATAAACACATCATGTAGACTCAATTCTTGTATAATAGAGAATGTAAAAAAATGTTATATTTGTTTCAGGGCATACAGATGTACATCACAGTGTAAAATATTGTATACGTTTGTAATACTGCTGTATATGTACAGATTCTTGATATATTATATATGTATGTATATTTACGTGCATATAAATATATACATATACATGTGACGTTTATATCTTCGTTACATCTGTAACTGTTCTCGATATACTCTAATAAGGAGATATTATATGTATATTAAAAGTATAAATTATATTTATGTGTATTATTTTTTCTATTGATACTTCTTTTCTTAACGAGGATATAAACGACGGCATAGTAGTAAATATCATGTGTAAAAAGAACAAATAATTTGTATATAAGTTTGTATATATTCAAATATTTGTAATTTTCAGAACACACTGATCGAGATATTTGAGTAACAATAAGTTTTATACTTGCGCTACATAAGTACGCATCTAGAATTTTCTTCCTATATTCTATTCCAATAATACATATATTGCCGTTCTTTTTTTTTAAATCTCATATCGACTATAGCTCATGTTTAGATGAAGTTACATGCTTTTGTAGACGCAGGGTTCCAAGCAATAATTTTAATATTTGTAATTTCCTTAAATTTTTTTTCCGTCAACCAACAAGATTACTTCACGTCAGATAACATGCGAACAATGCGACTTTTTTATCAGAAATTAAGTTTCTCTCGGATGCAATTTATTAATATATTGTTTTGAAAATAAACGTTTATTACTTTTTCAAATCGTTTGTGTCGATTTACGTTTTGTAATTAATTGTATAATCGGTATTTTTTTCACCTTAAAACTGCAATTAAATGTACGAAAGAAGCCCAGTCAAAGCCCTGAACTTTATTTCTCTTCGTGTATATGACATGTAGAGGGAATATTATCGCTAAATATTGCTCGACGATATCGCGAGTGTTTATCATATAGAACAAAACTTTAAAAATATCATTAAACGCGTGTCCGGTCCTAGAATGGACGTTATGTGCAATACTTGTACGGCTTGTTGTATGTATACGGTAGAGCTAGCCTAAGAGATTATTCACTTGTCGTTTGATTAATTGATGAGTGTAAATTAATTAGTGACCTAGAATAGAGTGCTTTGCGAAATTGCGAAATTGCGTGGAAAAGAATTTTCACCGGCAACACGCGGCCGTCTGATCCCGATTTTGCTTATGATGATCATGTTTTAATTATCCAAAAAGTTTTCCAACAAGTGACACACACACTCTCTCTCTCTCTCTCTCTCTCTCTGTGTGTGTGTGTGTGTGTGTGTGTGTGTAACACAGTGATTATTTCATCTCTCTTTGACATTGGCAAATAACAAGGATGTAATAATTCACTGTGTCTCTTGTTGGAAAACTCCCTCTAAACAAGTAATATGACATCAATATAATTTCACACTCAACAATGTAAATGTAATAAACACATTCCAGATACCCAAACTTGCAAAAATTGATTTTGAGCAGAGCATCAATTTTTGATGATAGAAAGGCAAAAAATTGCACACAGACTCTATAATATCTCAGGATGTCGGTAAACTGCTATCAGAAGTAGGATAAAGCTTGTTGATACGGTTTTCCAACAGATTGACGCTAGAAATCGAACAGGATTTGCAACTCTTGCTTCTATTAATCTGCTGATATAGTATATGTACGGTGACCATACGTCCTTTATTGTAAAGGACAGTCCTTTATTTTAGGCAGCTGTCCTTTAAATTTATTGTTTCTTCAAAACTCAATTTTTGTCCTTTATTTTCCAATATTGTCCTTTACTGTCATTTATTTGACATTACGGGAAATTCTTTTTCGAATTATTTTCTAATATTAATGAGCAAATTTTTACAGAAAATATTTTACAGTTTCATGCATATAAATACAATTTGTTTTTGTTAATTTTTTATGTCTTTAATTTTTAAAATTAAATTTATTTAAACTGTAGTTGTTTTCATTTTTTATTATTTCGAACCTTTTATTATTTCAGATCAAAAGTTTGTTCCAATACAGTCGGACCATGCAGTGGTCAAACTATTAAAAAACTGCAATTTGACACTGTGCAATAAAATTTTATAATGCACAGATTCTTGACAGTCTCAGTCACAAACTGGTTTAAAAACATAGAAACAAAGTCCTAATATTTTCAAATTTATCCTTTATTTTCTTTAAGTAAATATGGTCACCATAAGTAATAAATCACAGTAAACTCTGTCGACAGATCCTTTCACTCCCTAATGTGAACACAAATGGCTATGGATTCGCAATAGGAATCTGAATGAATTTATTGTATTACCAATCTGCCAGCAAACTGCTAGCATTTTGCTATTTGGGATATTGTACAATAGTTAAATATTAATTGTTAAGTATGAAATTATAATTGGTATGTTTTGAGTAAACACGGGATGAGCAGATTAGCCGCGTATATTCAGCGTCAAATCGCCGTGACGATTGTGAACGCAAACAGAGAAAGCAATCAGATAAATCAAAACGTAAGGAGAGTATATGTCTGAGAATAATCGCATAACCAATTGTCATGGAAACGCTTGGAAACTTTTAATGATGCGAGAGCGACGAAAAAACGAATATTTATTATAACGTCGCGGGGATGACAGTATTATAACATTACTCGCTACAATATTGTTGCTTGGTAGTGATGTGTATGTTTGTTATCGTAACTCCTTAACACATAGCGGGCACAAAGATCATTAAGACCTACAGAGAGATATCTGGAACGAGTAAATATTATTTTTATAGCCCCTGTAAATTTTTGATAGCTGACACGACCATCGACAGATTGATATAGAGAGTGTCTGAATCATTAGCGCGTTAATTTGTAATAATTAATTAAGGCCTTAATGGCGAGGCACTCTATATAATCCCCTGATTCCTTAAATATTTTTATTCTCTCCTCTGTAAATCGATTTGTTTATTGATCCAATACGTAGTTTCGAAACAGATATTTTTTATAGATATTATAGAGGAATTCTAATATCTAATTGACGACATAATTTTGTAATGGGAAAGATATTCTTGTAATTATTGTCGGCCTAATTTTATATAGAATCTCGCAGTAATTTTTCACATACATCTTCCGACTTTGTAACCAAATTACAAGTTATTTTTTACATACGGATGCGGATCCAGTTTAAACGTTAGTTATGTCGCAAGGCTGGAATCAAACTACTCATTGAAGATTGAAATTGAAAATTATCAAGTAAAATTTGATCAATGAGAACAAAGGAATTTTAGATCCTATTGTTGATTGGTGAAACTTTAAACTTCAATCTCAATCTTCAATGTGTAGTTTGATTCCGGCCTAACGGTTATCTCATCGCGTGTGATATTTTGAGTCTATTTATCACACAACACTTATCAATATTAAAATGCTATCGCCGTAAGCAGGGAAATATCGCAAAAATTTAGTGCTATGCGAAAAGATTGATTCAGATTCGTGATTAATGATAAAAAGGAAAAAGAAAAATGACTTCGAGGGGGAAATTTTCACATCCGCGTTGATGCATACTCGAGTTCGATCATCCTGTATTTTGTAACTCGTTATGTAGTCATTATGTGTTTATAACGAGTGCAGTTGTGCAGTTTTTTTACTAAGTAAAATATCTGCGCAACTATCATTATGATACACATAAGATTGCATAACGAGTTACAGAATACAGACTGGAAGCATCCAATTCCTAAACGGAAGTAGTGATTATGTTATCGATTATATACGAGACTGTTGTTTTATGTAAGTTGGCGAGCGAGATCGTAAATGCGATTTCAAGATATTTGTCCGCTGTCGCGACGAACATCATTGATTATATCTCGATAATGATGATCTCTACATCGGTGAGTAAAGAACGAACGGCAGGTTTTATACCACTTTTAAGTGCGTATCCGTTATCTGTAAAAGTCTATGAATGAGTTTTTGCGCAGAGTTCTATATTGTGAGACAAGTGTTTGATTTAACATTCCGATAACTTAGCAAAACAAAAAAATACAAAATAAATCGTTGACAGAACATGATATGTTTTCTTTGTCGTCCTTCCCAGATAGCACAAAATATTTACGATAAATATTTATTATTATACTATTCATTTTTCGAAATATTACGTAAATATCTTATACATATTTTATGTAAAGCTTTATTCGAAATATTATGAAAATATAGACTAAATATTTTATATAATATTTTTTGCAATAAAGAAAGATGTGCAAAAATAGAAAAATTGGCCCTAAATGAATACCTAAAATCTGTGCAGTTGTCATTTTGGAAGTCCGTTTTCATGAAAAATATTTATTTATTCAGAAAACCTTCAAAAAATAATAAAATAGATCGTTTAAACGCTCTACAACTTTTGTCTGCATTTTTTCTCAAATGCTTTCGAGATATTCGACCGTTTCCAGACTTACATCTTTACGTATATACAGGGTGGGGCATTTTAATCGCTCCAGGCGAATATCTCAGAAACTAAGTGATATTCCCCTTTAAGATACAAAAAAAGTTTTATATGAAAGTTGTAGGTTTTCTTTCATTATTTTTAAGTTTACGTCAACCAAAGACATAAAACGTAGAGCATGAATTGTACTATCCGTGTGTATTGTAAAATTAGATAGTCGAAAGAAATGAGAGAAATAAGATGGCCAGTCTCTATTCAATCAATTACAATATGTTAGAAAGAGGATCAGATTGGCCGTCTTCAATCCCTTTTTTCTTTTCTTATTAATTTGATATACTATTTAGATACGAAAGATACAGTTCATGCTTTAAAAAATTAGTTTTGTTTTCAAATGGGTCTTCCTCATATTTAAAATTTATAAAAAATTCATGAGGGCATATATTCTTTTAATTAAATATTTTTTATTTATATGTTTTCGGCAATTTATTGACAACATCAATGTTATCACGTTAACTAGTCGATAAATTGCTTTATAACTTATCGTTCCGTTGTACAATGTAATTTGCTGCCGTTAAATGGTAACACGTATCACGCTCATATGACTGAACAGTCATTCACTAAAATCTAATTTTTTTAAATTAATTTAATATTATGTAGATAGCGATTTC